ATATATATACATATATATATATATATATATATATATATATATATATATATATATATATATATGTATATATTGTTATATACATTGCTACATTTATGACGTATAAAAACTGCGTATATATTAAAGTTTATCTATGCATTTGTCTTCGTCTGCCTGCTGCTGCTGCTTAGGCTGCTGCTGCTGCTGCTGCTGCTGCTGCTGCTGCTGCTGCTGCTGCTGCTGGTCTCAGTCCTAGCGCTGCAGCATTTGCTGCTGCTGCTGCTGCTGTTGCTGCTGCTGTTGCTGTTAAGGTGCTGTTGCTGCATCTTCGGTTGCTGCTTATCTGTGTCTGTAGCATCTTCATTGCTGCTGCTGCTTGTGTTGCTGCTGCTGCTTGTGTTGCTGCTGCTTGAGTTGCTGCTGCTGCTTGTGCTGCAGCTGCTGCTTGTGTTGCTGCTGCTGCTTGTGCTGCTGCTGCTGCTGCTGCTGGTCTTCTTGCTGGGGGGTTTCTGCTGCTGCTGCTGCTGCTGCAGTTGCTGCTTGTGCTGATGCTGCTGCTGCTGCTGCTGCTGCTGCTGCTGCTGCTTTAGACGCTCTCTTGTTCGCCTATGACCTCAATATAGCCTCCAGGCTGCTGCAGCAGGCTTGCTGCTGTTGCTGCTGCTGCTTCTTCTTGCTGCAAGCTTTCTGCTGCTTGTGTTGCTGCTGCAGTTGCTGCTGCAGTTGCTGCTGCTGCAGCTACCTCTATCTGCTGCTGCTCTTTTTGTGTGTGTGGTTGTATTGCATATGTTGTTGCAGCTTGTACTATATCTTGCTGCTGCTGCTGCTGCTGCTGCTGCTGCAGCATTTGCTGCTGCTCGTCTTGCTGCTCCCCCTCCCCCTCCTGCTGCAGCTGCTGCTGCTGCAGCAGCTGCTGCTGCTGCTGCTGCCTTGTGTTGCTGGTTGTGCGTGTACTATTACATATTTTTTTATCGATATAGAGAAGAAAGAAAATAATAATAAAGACAAGAAGGCCCCCTAGTATCATAAGAGAGTCAACAACATAAAAATTATAAGGAGACAAATATATTAATATATCTGTTGATAGTTTATACCAACCTATACTAGTAAGAGCGAAACAACCACCAACAAGAGAACAAACACCAGCAAGAGAGCCGAAAAAAAAAGAAGGAAATAATGTTTTTATATAACAATATATACTACTCAATACAAAAGATGCATAAAGCCAAAAGAAAAATATAGATATACTTTTTGTTATTATTATATTTATAGGTAGTAAGAATATATACATAAACACCCCACAAATATTTATTATACACAAGACAAAGACAACGCCATATATATCACATATATAACCAAAGACAGGCCCAGGTAAAAAAGATAAAATATTCATGATAGAGAAAAAACTATATAAATTATTTTTATTTTTATTTATATTTATATTATTTATATTATTTATATCGTTTATTATATTTATCTCTCCCCCTTTATTTATATATAACTGCTCTTTGTTTGACTTTGTATAAAACTCTATACGTAATAAATTTATTACAAATATAGGCAAAAGTAATAAAAAACGAGAAT